ACTGTAATTACTGAAATTGGATTTTTTTTTTTTATATTCATGCTAATAAATATTTTTCTAAAGATCCATTATGTTTATATTTATTGAGCTTATATGTTTTAGGATAAGGAGTGATCATAATGTTGATGATTCTGTCAACATAATTAAAACATGGCTTGATAAACACGAGAGTAGTTATCATTCCGTAGATTCCATTCTTGATGATTCCCCTGAAACCTTTCCAGATGGAAGTGGTGTATTTGAGTGGTCTCCCCTTCACTTTGATCATATCATCAGCTTAAAAGAGAGTGCACTGAAAGCAGCTAGAAAATTATGGGCTGATTATATATTCGTAAGCTTTTTTGTCTTTTAAATTTATGCTGTTGCATTTCAGTTTGATTTATTGATCATATTAGAATTTTGAAATAAAATTACATAATTTATTATATAATGTATTAATGTATATTTAAGTAAATGATTACTTAAATTCTATCTTCATGGTTAATAATAGTCACTGTAGTAAAACCATTATCACTTAATTTTTTTTTTTTCATTTTATATTGTATGCATTAAGTTTCCCCTCTTTCATTTTACTATGTATTCATTTGATTTTCAAGAAGAAATCGCCAACATTTAATAAGTCTTGCTTGAACATCAAACACTCGCTTTAAAATTGATATTCTAAAGAAAAAACAGTATACATTTATGTTTATTATTATATCCTAGACTTGATTATCTTCTTTGTTTGACTTCTATGATTGAACTTCTTAGGGATTGCAACCAGGGGTTAACCCCCTGATATCTATCTATACACATATAAAGTTATAAATTCTTGTCTAAAATCTTTTTTTTTTTTACTGTCAATATCTATCTGTTTATTCTGTTTAATAAGAATATAAAGGTGATTAAAAAAATCGGGTATTTATTTAAAAAAAATGTTCAAAAATTTAAAAGCACTAAAAAAAATTATTAACAATGCCCCCCTCAAAAAAATATATGATATAAAGAAAGATATAAAAATTTACCCAGTTGAGAATAATCCTTACAAAGTAAATATCTGTAATAGTAATCAGAATTAAACCTATAAACACAAATAATTTTACCAGCGTGTAATTATAATTTAAACAGAGAATTAATTTTTTTCAAAATGGAATATGAATAAAAAGGTAGTGTTTTTAAGGGATGGAGGCTTATTTTTAAAAAGGGCAAAGAGGGTGCATACACTGCTTTAGCCTTTAATGTGTTTGTTACAATGAAATTTATCTTTATTAAAAATCTGATAATACTTTAAAATTTTTAAGTAATATTGGCTCTAATATAAATTATAATCTGATTCATCTGGTCTATGCTGTTGATGAACATCATGACCTATATGAGTATGACCATCATTATAATGACCAATGTATACAGTTCCATACGCTTTTACGCAGATGAAATATTACTTTAACAATTACTATAGCATCTGAATTTACTGATCACGCTACTGTAGTGTACAAAAATTGAAAAATAATTTTTTCATCGCCTGTAAAATCTTTTTAAAGGCTAATGTGCTTAACTTAATTTTGTGCTTTATAAAAGGAATCTTACTTAAAAGAAGGCATTTTATATAAAGTTAAAAGAAAATTATTTGGTGTTATCAAGTAATAAACTTAAAATATCTTGAATTTTTTTGGAGGTAGGGAGCGAGGCAAAACCTCCCACGATTCCTATTCTTGGTAGTCTAATCTCAAAAAAGTTAGAAAATGCCCACCTTAAAATAAAATAACATATTCCACCATCTGTGCATATCTTCATTATTTACCATGTGTATTCATTAGTTAACGGTAATAGATAAAAGGTAATAGGCTGGAGACAAGATTTTGTGCTAAATCTCATAAGATTTTAAAATACCTTTAAAAAAATTTTTATGATGGGTAAAGAAACAACATATAGCATGTGTATTACATTCTGTATCAGAAAATTTTGTCGATTTTTATAGCCCTATATTAAGGCCAGAATTTGTAAATATGTTACAGATATATAATGTTTTCATGTTTATTTGACATATTTTTATAAGCAGTGAAATTATCATGTGTATGTGTCAATTTTTTTTCTTTTTATCTAGTATGTATTTTTGTTTCCATTGTTACCATTGTCTAATGTTTTTAATTTTATTAGTTCATAGATGCTGATGTATTTTTAGTGAACAATGCTACTTTGAAACTATTGATTGAAGAAGAAAAGTAAGTATAATAAAAAAAAAGTATAACTTACAGCCAGGGTTGGGTTTTTGCCGTCAAAAACTAGTTTTTGACATGACAGTGGTAAAAACCGTGTTTTTACCGGTAAAAACCGTCAAAAACCTTGTTTTCTATAATTTATGGCATATAGCGGACAATATATTATTTTCACATAATTGCCTTTATAAATGAATGTTGTAAATGATTGCTATTGATTTTGCAACTATATACATGTATTCTTATAGAAGGATATACATTCATACAGAAATATTGTAATATACTTATTGAAAATAGTGATACTTACTTTTATCATTATAGCTTGATTTGCAAAGGATTCAAAATTTTGCACTTCTTAATTGTTAGAAATAAACAAACAAACAAAAAAGCTTGGAACTATTAATAAATTCAAGAACTAAAATGAAGAATTTAAAATTTGGCATTTCTTAAATATTAGAAATAAGCTAAACAAAACTTTCAAAACTTGTAACTACTAACAAACTCTAAGTCAAGAATGACTTGACATTCTTCAGTAATGTAATATGCCAAACAAAATGATGCTTGGAAATGTTGAAAATTTTGTTTAGTATCCTAATATTTTACTTCAAATAGTATGTTTTGATATAATCATGTTGGGAAAACGCAAGAATCTGTTCTTAAATATCTTTTAACAACTTTTTTTCTAATTTTATTGCCCTAAAAGGAATTAATTTTAAATTATAAGCAGTTAAACTCAAATAAAAATACAGTTTTACCAAAACTATGGGTTTTTGACAGTTTTCGACGTTTTTGACAGAGGGGTTTTTGACATGACGGTAAAAACCATGGTATAAACCGGTAAAAACCGTCATGTGTCAAAAACTTGCCAACCCTGACTTACTCTATCTTTTGCTTTATTTTACTTTATCTGCTCTTATATCTTTTTCATAGAAATACTAAAGAAACAAATTTGTTATACATGTGAATATTAGAAATGAACTTGACTTAATTTTGTTACAATTGATGTTTTTGTATTAAGTAATATCACAGAAAGTTCTTCGTCTCATGAAACCCATAAATTAATGATAATTTAATGAAAAATAAAATAAAAATTCAATTTTTAAAAATGCAATATTACATATGATATTTTTGTACCAAACGTGAATCGATAAATTTAGTTTCATTTATGTTTGTTAATAACTTTAAGCTGTATAACAAATTATAATTTCTGATTGCCGCTGCATTTGACAAGCATAATCTATTCATGTGATATGATGTAAATTTTTAATGTTGTTTTGGAGTTATGAAAAGGAAATATTTTTTCGAATTCGTGTTAAGTAAACAAGCATTTTAATAGTGATTAATCTGGTTATTAAAAAAGTTTGTTAATAAATTTTATTAATTAATTAAAAATTAAGTTAAATAATTTTAATTAAAATTTTTCATTATCATCTCTTTTACAATAATTAAATGTTCCATTTTGTTTTAGGACTGTAATTGCACCTGTTCTTGAAACATTAGGAGCTTATTCTAACTATTGGTGCGGTATGACAGAACAGGTTCGTTATTTTGTTTTATTGTTATTGTTTAAAATTATTGTTTCAAAAAAAAAAAAAATTTACATTGTCCTGACAAATTGCAAGTTCTCACTGAGAATGAATATTTAATGATTGACAATAAAACCAGTGTTCTCCCTAGGCGTTTTAAGATGGGCAGCTGGCCTTGCTTGCCTTATGAGGGACTCTCTTTGCTTTTTTTGTATAAACAAACTGCCCTCCCTTAAAAATACTGCCTTTTTATTCATATTCCATTTAAAAAAAATTTATTCAATGTTTAAATAATAATTACACACTGGTGAAATTATCTGTGTTTATAGGTTTATTTCTGATTACTATTGCAAATGTTTATTTTGTCAGCATTATTCTCAATTGGTTAAATTTTAAGTTTCTCTTTTTTCAGGAGTATATTATTAAATTTTCTCAGTAATTTTAAAATTATTTTTTAAACAATTTTTTTCTCAAAGAAAAAAAGGCACCTTTCAATGTTTGTTTCTCATAATTTTTAGTTAAAATTACAGAAAAAAGCTTTTAAGTTGTTTTTCAATAAATATTTTTTTTTTAGTTTATTAATTTACTTTATTATTGTTTTAATTTTTTTATTATTATATTTTTTTTTGCACGGGGACTGTTTTTTTTGCATGCCTTTAATTATTTCTTATAAAATACAGATTTTATTCTTATTTTGATAATGAGTGAGAATTACTTTTTAAAAAACAATTCATTAAAATAGTTTGAAAGGGTAATTTAAACATTTTTGAGGATCAAATTCAGTTATTACATAATATTACACATTTTGATAAATTTTTACTGTGTTAAATAAGTGCCCTTTCAGGGATCTGTTTAGAAGAAAATTGGATCTGTTAACAGTCCCTTCACAAAATATCTTTTCATAAAAACAGACCCTTCACAAAATATTTTAACTTAAAACGGACCCTTCACAAAATAATTTATCTTTTAATTGGACCCTTCACAAATTTGTTTATCTTCATTATTGTTTTGTTAAGCGAATAAACCCTTCCCAAGAAGGAAGGGGGGAGAAAGACATATGTAAATGAACTAAATTTTGTCTTTGGCAGACGCTTCTTCCTTTATTCGTCCGAAATTAATATTCTGTGTTCAACTGTATAGGCTAAATACCAAATATTTATATGTTACACTGCTAATTTAGTAGCTGCAATTACTGTTTAATTCTTAAATTTAATTTTTTTGATTATAATTTTACAGTGTTGAGCATAATCTTTACAATTTAAAAACTCCTTGAAAAAGATTTTTTGCAATAACAGACCCTATTTGCTCAAATTCATAAAAGCAGGACCCTGGTTGAAGGAAAGTGACTTAACGTTTATTTTATATTCACAAATTACTAGTAATTTTTTCACAATTTTACAAAAATGGACCTTTCACAAAATGTCTGGACAAACCCCTGCCTTTCAAAACTCTAAGTGCCCTTTTTATGGGGAAACTAATAAAATACCTAAATTAAAATTCAATTCCTGGCCCTGTGTAAGCCATTTCTTTTTTTATATCTATAGATATTTGCACATCTATATCTCTGAAAACTTCTGAGTTTCTCAATCAATTTCAAGATTTAGTATGAAAAATTGGAAGAAACGAGCAAACATGTCAAATGCAATTATTAAATTGCTTTTTCTAAGGACAGGTTATCTAAATCATTCTCTTTGCTGCAGACCGTGTCAAAACATAAGATTCTCTTACTTGGCATTCATGCTATTCAGCTGTTATCAGGCATTTATACTATTCAGCTGTTACCAGGCATTTATACTATTCAGCTGTTACCAGGCAGTTATACTATTCAGCTGTTACTAGACATTCATGCTAAGATACTAGAAAATAATTGAAACTGGAAAAAAAGATATAGAAAAAACATGATGAATTAAAGAAAAATTATCCAAATTCTGCATTTTTGCATATTTTAAATAGCCGGATAAAAAGATGAGTCATCATAAACATTTGGAATGCATCATGTTATGCCAAAATTTTTCTGTTATAACTTTTGATGTGTATTCCAACTTTTTTATTTTGGTTTAGTTGCAGCAGTTGTAACTAAATTATTTTAAAAACAATAGTTTTTAATATTTCTCATTCAAGTCTTGGAAAATTTTTGGTGCTGTTCATAAAAAAAGACTTAATCTTTCTTAAAATGAAATACATAGTTAAACAATTAACCATGAGGTTTGTTTAGTTAAAATTGTCAGATTTTTTTTATTTTTCTTTTATTATACTTACTATTTACTCTTAATTCTGGACAGGAAGGCTGCTATTCACAGACGCTGCATTAAATGGTCACTGTTGGCTTACATTGCCTACTACATTTTTATTAGATTTTTTGTGGTTTCTTTTAGTTTTATATAATGATTTTGTTTCCTTAAGTCCCACAGTGGACTGATTATAAATAAGCATTTCTTATCAAAACATTTAAGTCAAGCCGACTGGTAAGTGACCGTTCCGATCAGCCTGCATAAGGACCGAGGGTACGAGGTATCGGTCCTTGTTTAACTGCTCTGCCATAAAGTGCTCAATTTCACACATGTAGGTCATCAAACTACCAAAGCAGGCAGCCGTCCTCTCTGCAGAGGAGCAAAATTGTGATGGTGTGTCTTTGAATCATCATTAAGGATGTTTCTCAAACTGTCCCCATTGTGCTGCTTTAGTGCTATGTAAATAAAAAACTAACACCTTTTTGTTTTTTTAAATTTTAGCCCTTCGGGAGTACAAGACTTTAAGGTTATGCTGAAAATTTTCCTCCAAATTATTTAATATTTGCATCAATCGTAGTTTACAACTCCATTTTATTTGCTTGCGTTGAGTATGTAAAGTGTTAGTTTGAATACCTAATTAGTGGAAAGATTTGTGCAGACATAAGTATGACATCTCGGAAAGCTACCTCTTCTTTGTAAACTGAAAATTTTCAGTTTTGAAAAATATTAATTATAATATTATTAATTATAATATTATTAATTATAATATTATTAATTATAATATTATTAATTATAATATTATTAATTATAATATTATTAATTATAATATTATTAATTATAATATTATTAATTATAATATTATTAATTATAATATTATTAATTATAATATTATTAATTATAATATTATTAATTATAATATTATTAATTATAATATTATTAATTATAATATTATTAATTATAATATTATTAATTATAATATTATTAATTATAATATTATTAATTATAATATTATTAATTATAATATTATTAATTATAATATTATTAATTATAATATTATTAATTATAATATTATTAATTATAATATTATTAATTATAATATTATTAATTATAATATTATTAATTATAATATTATTAATTATAATATTATTAATTATAATATTATTAATTATAATATTATTAATTATAATATTATTAATNATATATATATATATATATATATATATATATATATATATATATATATATATATATATATATATATATATATATATATATATATATATATATATATATATATATATATATATATATATATATATATATATATATATATATATATATATATATATATATATATATATATATATATATATATATATATATATATATATATATATATATATATATATATATATATATATATATAAATACAGTACAAAACCCGTTATCCAGAAATCAGAAAACCGGAAAACCAAAAAACCGGAACGAAATTCGATAAATTTTCCCGCGATTTTTTTAAAAAGATGTTTAGGATTTTTCTTAGGATTTTTCTTTCTTTTTTGAAAGATCTTTACCTTACCATCAGTTTAGAAATAATCATTAGTGAATTACTTCATCGTTTTTTCTTCTTTTTAAGATAATTTCCAAATATATATATTTTTTTAGTTGGGTTTAACGATAAAAAAACGGCTTTTTGTAGCGATTCAGAAAACCGGAAAAATCAGTTATCCGGAATAGCAATGGTCCCTATCGTTCCGGATAATCGGTTCTCTACTGTAAATAAATTCCAAATTTAATTTCTATTTTTAATATTTACTAATTGTCTCATCATAGTTTTCTTTTAGGAAAAATATGTCACTTAACCATTAACACAGTACTGAGCTTAAAGCTTGTGGCACAGATAAAAAATAAAATAAAAAATTTGTTCATTTGCGTATCTAAATAGGGTTTTTAAACATTCAGTATTATTGTAAGTTCGCTGTTAAAGCCAAACAATATAAAGATAAATTATTTAACTTTCACGTTGATAAGGTTGCTAAAGTAAAATCTTCAAAATTAAATAGTTTCAGTTAACCTTTTTTTTGGCATGGTTTTTCGTTGTCCTTTACATTCGTAGATGAACAAATTGTGTGTGCATCACTAGAAGAAAAATAGAAAAAAAAATTTTTTTTAAATATAATTATGCTGCAAACGTATTTTTTATTGGAAGATAGGTACTGTTTTTTAAAAGTCTATTAAATGATAAGCATGAATTAGTAATAAATTATTCATTATACAACTATAATTTTTTGGTTTATTTTTTTATTTTATTACTGTTTACTTTACTATATTGTAGGTGTTAAGATGTTTGTGACAAATAAAGAACCTTTTGGTTATATGATGACTCCTTTAGAAAAAGAAAACACCTTACAGGATGATCGGGAACAGCTTTTGAATCTCAAAATAGAGATGCTTGGTATGATGGATTGTTAATTACAATCTATATTTTGCTCAATTATACAGCTACTTTATTGTTGTTGGATTTTATTTTCAATCTTATTTTATCTAGTTGAACTTTCTAAAGTTGCAGTATCGAAAAATTTGGAACATTTTGTTCGGAAAGAAGAGTGGAGCAATTTAGGTTTTGATCAGGTATGTTGAGTTCTGATTGCTCATTGGATAAAGTATTTTACTTTAGAGCTTTTGTGTTATTTTATGTATTTCTATTTTAAATGGCATAAAGTAGTTTCTTTTGGCAAATATTATGAATAATTTTAGTCTAACTTATTAGGACAAAATTGTTGAATTCACTCTAAAGTTGAAATAGACATTAAACTTTTAAAGTATTGAATAAAACTACAATAAATAAATGTTCTTTTATTTGACAATTTATGTTGAATATTCTGTTGTGCTGAATATTTTACTGAAAACATAATTTTCTTTTTCTTATTTTATGGATTTATATTTATTGGATTATTTTTATTATTTATTGAAAATTATTAGAAAAAATGCAAACATTTTTAGACGCAGCTCTACAATATTTTCTTAAATTTATGTCATAAATTAGGTGAAAGTGGGGTAAAACCAGTTAGCTAAGGTTCAAAGGTCTGTTGGAGCTAAGCTGTTTGACCTAGAAACGGTCAGATTTAATCCAGATATCCATTGTTTAGCTGTGTACAATGTATATTTCCCGAAAATTCATAGATGTACTACTTTTTTTACAAAGAATTTTTATTGATTTGATTATTCTTAAAAACTATCTATGATGTTCAAGGAATCGGTTGTCTGAATGTTCACTTCCTTTTTTAAGTAACAATTTGGCGCATCTCTAAATTTGAATAATGTGGAATATTTTTATTTCCTTATATAACAATAATCTTATTTATAAAAATATGAGAAAATTTGAAGATGAAATTTAAAGCAATTTATGAAAATCGTTATGATAATATGCAAGGAATTTTTTTAAAAAAAGCAGCATTAGGAGGAAACACTGTAAACTATTTGTTATTCCTGTTGAAAACATTTATTTCTAGAATTCTGTTTGGTTCTTTGTTAAGGTTACTAACACACAAATTAGGTTTTAATTATTGGATCTTAAAGCAACTCAAATAAATTAAAATTTAAAAAAATAAATGAAAAAACTTAAATGAGAAATTTAAGATTAAGCATAATTAAGTTTTTTTCAGGCTATTTCGTTCTACAAAATAAAATTTTTCTAGTATTATGCTATTTTTATTGGCTGCTGTTAAACATATTAGATTATATTATCTTCATCTCCACATTGTGTCTGTGCTGACTATGAGAATGGCTTAAAATGTCAGTAAGAAGAAAAGCTACAGCTTTTTTTTTTCTTTTAAACTGAAAAGCATTTGTGGCCTGAATTTTCAATACTATTGAAAAAAATTACGTCATTATTGATTTGGTGCATAAAAATATATAATTAAATTGGATGTTTAATTACTAATTTTAATAATTCATCTAGTTTTAAAAAATAATGTTAAACTGCCAATTTTTTTCTAAAAAAATTAATGTTTAAATATTTAAAAAAAATTATTTATTGAAATTCAGTCAGTTCTTCCCCACAAAATTGTACAAAACGTATTGCTTGAAACTAAAGTTTTGATTTGAGTTTACAGCACTCAAACTGTTGGCATTTTTATTTTCTTTGGTAATAAAGCTTAAAAAAAACTTTTATGTGGCATATATTTTAAGTTTTGCTTTGAAAACTGAGATATACTTTGATCAAGATAAATATCTATTTTTCAGATTTATTTAATAAATTTGGAACGCCGCCCTCTCAGAAAACAAAGGATGTTAAATTCCCTTACTGAAATGGGCATTCAAGCTAATCTTTTCAAAGCAGTCGATGGAAAGTTAGTCTCTCATCTATATCGTTTATTTTTCAATTTTCCTATATATATATTTTATCAAATAAAAGTTTTTAAATTATTTTCTTAAAACTAAATATGTCTTGATTGAATTATTTCATTCATTTAATAACTAGTTTTGTTTAGATTGTAAATAATATTTTTAGCATGATTTGATGTATAACTTTTTTGTTGAAAGTTTAATTTGAAATTAAGAAGTTGAAGTAATCATATCGTTTGAATTTGAATTTATGATAGTATTATTCACCTTTTTACTTTTGAAAATATAATAAATAGTATTTTATAAATGAAAGTCTGATAATATTGTATTTATCAATTTTAAGTGCACATGAGAATTCTGTACTCTTAATCTAGATCTGCCAAAATTAAGCTCTATAAGAATTGAAGAACTGGAGAGAAAAAAATCAGTTGGAATTAGGTTTGAGGAAAAGACATTGTACATGTACGATTTACAATTTAAAAAACATTGATCTGAACTTTTGACTAAATTGAATTTATATCACATTAAAGGGTCTTTGGTAAACACTCTTATACTAACAAACTTTTAAGTTTATTAAAAAATATTTTTTGGTGTTGCTCCTTATTCCAAAATTTTGCAAAATCCAGTTTGCCATTAATCTATTTTTTATTAAAATTAAAAGTTATAATTAGGTAAATCCATTGGTCTAACTTTAAATTAGATTTTAAATTTAGGTAAATATTGTCACTAGTAATTTGTCCAGAGGAATGAGAGAATTTGTTAATCAAATAAATTGTTAAGTGGCAGAGGATAGTTGTTATTGTTTAGTTTTGTTTTATTTTATTGTTCTAATTCTATTCATATATTTACTTCACTTTATAAATTATATATTTTTTTATTTCAGAGCACTAAATGATACTTTCATACAGAAAATGGGAATCAAGATGCTTCCAGAGTATGCTGATCCTTATCATAAAAGGTACGATGTTGTCTCAATGAAAAATGCCACTTACCTCAAGGATTAAATTGTTGCTATTCAATTTGATTCCATTATTTAAAAAAGAATTAAATTTTTTTAAAAATTTCACCGAGTAATACTTGTAAGAAATCTTATAAAGCGAAAACCAGACTACTCACCCTTTCATTTCTTAGTGTAGTTGATGTCTGGAGAAGGTGTTCTAAAGCAAATTGTCGATTACTAAAATAAAACGAATGATAATTTTTCCACTTATCTTTTTTACTTATTTTAAATTTAGGAAGTTTAATGCATAATGCATTATTTTATGAAAAATTCGATCAACAAAAATTACTGTTTAAAATGTACTAAAAATATATTTAAATTACAAAATGCACAAAAAAATCATTTATTTTTGGTATTTTTAAATAACAAATTTATTTAAAATTTAAGTATCTATTCAAAAATAAAATAAATTGCAAAATTATAAATAAAGTCAAGCATAGGCAATAAGAAATATAAATTTTAAAAAATCAATTCATATTAATTAATTTATTAAATAAAGCAAAATGAAAATCTTTATGTTCCCATAAATTAGATTATAATGTTCAATACTCAAGAAGTATTTATCATGAAAAATTATTAGTTATATTTATAACTGGCCCATTTTTTTAGTTTTGATTTGAAATGAGTTTTATTAACAATAGAGGTAAAAATAAATGTTAGTATTAATTTTTATTTAAATTTATTTTAAAAAAAAAAACCTATTTTGTTATGATAATCTGTTATTTTCTTTCAGACCTCTGACAAGAGGAGAAATTGGCTGCTTCCTTAGTCATTATTATCTGTGGAAAGATGTAAGTATCTTATTCCCCCCCCCTGAATAAAAATATACTTTTGTAATTTTTTTAAATCAAATTCAAGAGTTCAGAAAGATGATCCAGCTATTAAAATCTATCTGTTTAGTTTATTTAATTTTATTACTCATCAAAAAATGTGTTTCTATAAAAGTGGGCAATAGTTATGAATTTTTTTAGGTTTTAGATAGAGTCATATCATGTTTTTCAATATCATGTATCAGTTCATGTTTTTTAATACATGGGAGAGTTACATATGAAGGTATATTAGTAATTTTAATATTTCTGAGCAACAAATAGTTGTTAAAAAATTGTCTTCTAGTCACCCATCACTTTTTTCCTTAAAAATGTGCAAATTATGTGCCCATGTGCAAATTATGTGCCATATTAATCCCATGTGCAAATTATTATTAATTTTTTTTAGATAAATATATATAATAATATTATGAATACTTTTTAATAGTTCATTATTTTAGGCTTGTCTCTTAAAATTCATTTTAGAAGTAAACCTTGCAGTGTTTACCCTAGTTAGAGAAATTCTTCAAAAGAAATGCCTTATATTTATAATAATAACAGTTTTCTTTAATTTTTTAAAATTTTCAATTTTGGAAAAAGGGACCACCTTAAAAAATGCTATGACTAGCCAGTAGTAAAATTTCCTAACTTTGCCCTTTACCGCAAGTCGTCTATTCTAAGACAGTTAATTTACAATAATTGGGCATAAAACTGTAACTTAAAAATATACAAAAACATTCAACTTGAAAAACTGTTTTTAGTTATACATGAAAAATGTTAACCAATTATTATTAACCAATCATTTAGTTTGTGTGTACGATCATTAATTAGATATAAAATGAAACTTACAAATATTATAACATAGACATTGTAAATGTTTAACTATAATGTAAACATAAACGTTCTCTGTGTAAATATTAAGAATGCTTAGTTGCATTCCAAATATTGTTACTAAAACATTCTTAACAATGCTGGTTCATGTTATTTTTAAAGATAGTAAAATTTACCATCTATTGTTAACTGCTGCAATCAAATTATAGATTAAAATGACGAAACTACACTTTGAAAATTCTTCTTTTCGATTGGTTCTCCAATAGGATAAAGTAAAATAATTTGCAAATTTCTGTTCTCAATTTTAAAATTATTTTTGTTAGTTAAGTGTTTTTGTTCAAACATTTTGATTTTTATGCGTTTTATCAAATATTTTATTCCTGTTTGCACACTTCTGTAATCTTTTTTTTTCTCAGAATAAGTTTTCAGGGAACCAAACTGTTCCTCTCTCTGGATCTTCAAAGATAAAAGCTATATTTTATAAATTTCTTCTTAATTGTTCTTTCTCAGCAAATTATGTTGTCTTTTAATGGTTTATTGAATCAGTACAGTGTTTAAATTCCTGATAACCCTACATATAAGTTGTATTAAAATTTTGACATGTATTCATATAAATATGATTATAAGTTTAGACTATTGTTTATTTTATGAATTTTTTTCCACAGATGATTGAAAAACAGCACCGCACTGCTTTAGTTTTAGAAGATGATTTGAGATTTGAACCCTATTTCAGAAAAAAAGTTCAAGGGTTGTTAAAAGAAGCACAAAAAATTGGTTTACTTTGGGATTTAATGTAAGTATTATTGCTGATTGCTCTGCATTTTTATGATCCATATTTTGATTTATGATTCATTGAATATAACTGTAGTTATATGAAATTTTAAACATTTGTTAGTTTTATTTTTAAGAAGTATTTATTAATTTATATTGGATTCATTATGAATTTCTCAAGACATTCTATATAATTATTTTGATTTACAATCAAATTTCTATGACTTAATTTTTTGATAAATAGTGGCAATTTCATAACCTTGGTAAAAATATCAAATTCAATGCTAATTCTTTTTCTATTAACCATAATTCAATTACACTTTACATACAAAGTTTACATACAATCTACATTTTTTTGTTCTACCTACCATTGCAGATTCCCTTCTATTTTGATTACTGATACAGAAAGTCTACTCTGTAACGTTCTTTTCAATTCTGTGACAAAAATTAAGTTAGTGAGCAGGGGCTGTGATCCCTGATTAGCACAAAAAAATGCAACCTTAACAATTATTCTGTTAATTTCCCAACTCTTTTTATTGTTTTCACAAAATTAGTCTAGTGTACGAGTAAATTTCCATATTTTATTTTTGGTCTCTCATGATAAAGATCTCACATAACAATGTCCGTTTTCGTTTAGATAACAATCTCATTATATTGAATGTCGACTGTATGTAATCTGAAGGAATTTTCATCTTTGAACCTTGAATCTCATAAGTCAATTTATGTTTTGAAAGAATTTAACTTTTAAACAAAATGTAGGAGTTCCTTGTAAAAACTTATCTTTAAGAGTGAAGGAAATTTATCTCCAAAAAGAGGATGAGGTACACTTTGTGCTTTGTAGATAAAAAGAAGAAAAAAACCAATGTGAATAAAATAAAATCTTGTCCATTTGTGTACTTTATTTGCACTTATTTTGTGTTACCTTTTGCTTTAATAAATCATCTATTTTCATACTTTATTTGTGGTTTGTATATGGTGTTTTTTGCCTTGATAAAGTGTCCATTTCTGTAATTAATTCAAAACATCCAAATCTTTAGGATCGTTAAAGAACGAGCGATTATTAGAATCACCTCTAAGTTTCACCTGGCTATCAAAATTATTTTTATGTTTTTCATTCGTCACTTTTGATTCAATAGATTTTAATATCATTTTTGTTTCTTATTTGCTTCTAATTTATGACCCTAAAATGTATATAATTTTTACTTCATTTGTGATAAGGATTTTAAAAATAAATATTAATGTCTGTATTTTGTATACAAGTTTAAACAAATAATTTAAATAGATTTTTCTGCTAAGAGTTATTTTCTTTTCACGTTATTTGCTCATTGTTTTTGTTGCAATGTGTCTGACAACATACTACAATATGAAAGAACATTTTATATGGCCCCATAAAAGCTTCCTAATATTTTACTGAATACAAAACATGTGGTTTCTTTTTACTAGGTGGTTAATACCATATACTGTCTTTTTAATTAATTGAAGTTATTTATTTTAAATAAGCATTGTTTTCTTTAAATAATCATGCTGTGCTTACTTTATTTGCTCTACAACTGATAAAATTGTTTAAATAATGCAAAATAGGTAGTACCCACTCGCCGAAAAGATGTTTGTTTTGCCTTACAAAAATCCCATAAAAATTTGATTTCAGTAACTGCTTTAAAATGATTGATCAGAAGCCTCAACTTTCCCTTATTATGCTATTTCTTGAAATTTTTAAAACTGTGTATGATTTTAAAATGTCCCTAAAAATAAATTTTTACTCTAAATAATTTCATATAAGAAAAACTGTTTCCAAATAATGATTTAAATGTTCGTTGTTAATGTTTTAGATAATTATTATTTATTTTTAAAATATAATGTGTTTTGTTAAAACTTCCTACCTTTTTAAACAGTTTTTACTGAAAATTTTATTATTTACTACATAATAAATGAGCTGCCTATTTAACCTCGTTTAATTATTTATTAAACATTACTGTTACCAGTGCTAAATATTAAAAATATATTTTGCCAAAAAAAAAATTCCTATTTCCTTAAAAAAAATTACCTGTTGCAGTGCTCTTTTTGTTCCTTATAATTTATTAACGTAATAAATCTAATATGTATTTTACATTGTTATTAGCAGGTATAAATTATAGAGTTGTTTTTTTAATTATTTATGTTTTATTATTTTGCAAACATTACTGTTACTAGGACTGAATATTAAAAATATATTTTGCCAAAAAAAAAAAAAAATTCCTATTTCCTTAAAATAAAATTACCTGTTGCAATGCTCTTTTTTGTTCCCTATAATTTATTAACATAATCAATCTAATTTGTATTTTAGAATATTAGCATGTATAAACTATGGAGTTGTTATTTAATTATTTATGTTTTATTATTTTTTAAGCATTACTGTTACCGGGGCTAAATATTAAAAATATATTTTGATAAAAAAAATATTCCTATTTTCTTTAAAAAAAATTCCCTATTGCAGTGCTCTTTTTTGTTCCTTATAATTTACGAATTTAATCAATCTAATTTGTATTTTAAAATGTTGGCAGGTATGATAGACAAACTATAGAGTCGTTTTGTAAACACGGCTATTTTGAATGTATGAAAAACTATTTTGTGTTTTTATGTTATTAATAATTGGCACAGTAAGTTTCTAAAAACTTATTATTTACTACTTATTATTTTAACTTATTATGATTACCCTGTTGATTTCGTATTCAATACTGTCCTGTTTATTCTTTTAGATACTTAGGTCGTAAGCGACTGTCTGAAGATGGCGAGCCTTATGTTCAGGGCACTTCAAATTTAGTTCATGTTGATTACTCTTACTGGACTCTTTGCTATCTAATTACTCTGGAAGGGGCCAAGAAATTAATAGCTGCAAATCCTTTGCCAAAATTAGTTCCTGTTGATGAATTTCTCCCTATTATGTTTGATCGTCATCCAGAGTGAGTGTTTAATAGAATTTTGTTGAACTTTTTATTTACATTATTCAATGTTTAGAAGAGAGACACAAACATTGTCTCACATATGTATAGAAAAAAAAAGTAGTCAGTGTTGTATAGTCGAACTAAAAAAAAATTTTAAAAATCAAAGCAGCACTAAAATATTTTTTAGAACTGTTTAGAATATTAATTTTTAAAAAAAAATCTGAATTGTACTAATGTAGTGGCATTGCTCTGCAAATGCTACTGTAAGTACAAATCCCTATTCTGGCCTGGTTATTCTATCCATACAGCCCATCAAGGCAAATATTTAATCAGAAATTCCTTAAAATACGGTTTAAATTATCTCTAAATTGCTAACTAAAAGCAAAATTTTTTGAAAGCTTATGCAGATTAAATGATTTATATTACCTTATGCAACTCTTTTTTTATTCATCTAATCAGGTTTATTTTTATTCGATAAAAGTTTACTCCAATTGAGCTTAAAAAATGATAAACATGATATTTAAATGTAAAAGTGAGAGTAAAATCATTCAATTAATTCTAATTTATCGCCTCTAAAGAAATTCATTATCATTTTAAAACTCAAATTAAACATCTCTAAAGAAATTCATCAATGTTGGAACTTGTGATTTATATATATATATATTTTAAGTTTATTTTGTTCTTACTTAATTTTTTATTCTATTCCGTTATATCTTTCTGGTAAACAAGAAAGATTAAGCAGTAATACATTTCTTGAAATGGATAGTTTCATTCACGCAGGTATATTAATATGTTTTCATTTTTAATGAAGACTTTAAAAAGATTTTCAGGCATGTGTTTTATAGACCATGTAATGCATGGTAAGGTGTGTAAAAATTTAGAGATATTTTGTGCTTTGAAATGTATTTTATTTCATTTATGGAATGTTATACAAACTATGAAATTATTGCTAACTTTTTTTTTGTCTTTCTTCTCAGGGAGTCTTGGAAAGGTTACTATCCCAAACGAAATTTACGAGCATTTTCTGCTCATCCTTTGCTAGTTTACCCAACTCATTATACTGGTGACATTGACTATATTAGTGACACAGAAGATTCTGATATAGCTGTATCATCCGTTATTGTCAAAGATGAACTTTGAATTCTTTCTTGCTTTTTATTGCTCATTTATGTTAGTTACGTGCCATATGTACATGTCTAATTATTTTGAACCTTATGAGCCAAATTTAATTTTTATTGTCATTTTTCTAGTCAATAGGTCAATTAATTAAAATCATTTAATGAAATTAATTTTTAATTAGGAATTTTGCAATCTCGTAATGGATATTTTGATTGTGTAAATGACTTTTTTTATCATCCAATTGTATTAAAGGAGTTCTTAAAAACAAATATAGCCACTTTATGAAAAAACAACCAATGCATAACTGTCAACTCAACTGGATTTTCAAATTTTTCATCTAATATAATTAAATATTCTTCTACTTTTTGCATATTTTTAAAAAATCCCTAAAATTGGGAAAGTTATGGTAAAAAGTGCCTGTGAAATGCTTAGTGTATTATTTGAGTAAGCAAATAAGTATTACTTCTAAATAATGAAGTGAGTCTTACTTAAAGTTATCAGTTTGAAGAATTTCTTCTTTTAAATATTCTAAAATTATAATTTTTTTTATTCCAAAACTTTCTTCTTTTTTTTTTTTAATTAATGAAAAAATATGTTATAAGCTTTTTGATATCTTTTAATATTCCAAAAGAGGCCATTTTGTATGACTGTTGAAAAAAGTTTTTCTTTGGTAATGACAATATTTTAATGTATACCATTTTTAATTTTAATTGTTAAATATTAAATTTTTGTACCTACCTCAATAATTCAAACACATGTATATAATGTAGTTCGTTTTTTTATTTAGTCAACTATGGAAATCTTGTACCTAAAATATTTTAAATGCTACAAATTAATTACTATGAAACTTGTGTTATTTTGTAAAATTTACTGGATTTTTTTTTCTTCTTTTCATGTTGACAGCTATGTCTAAGTCTATTATTAAAAAGTTATGTAATTCTGTATAGGTTTTATACTAAACTAAAGTCAAAATTTAAGGGAACAGCCAGAAAAAGTGCTTTTATATTTTCAAGACATTTTAAAACTTAGTTCTTGACAGATTTAAAATTGTATACTTGTTTCTTCAAACCTCTAATGTGTATTGCTAATTCAAATTATTTTACTTTTACAACATGTTGTGTTTATTTTATGTTTATATTTTTTACATTGCATTTGCTTTTGCAACATATCTGTTTCATGTCTATTTAATGTTTATTTTTTTATTATGATTATGTTAGGCAAGGAATTTTAATTAATGATTTTTTATCTTTATTAATAAATTAAAACTTAGATTTATTTTTCAACACAATCCTTCATTTGCAGTATGCTTAGACAAAGTAGGTTTTATAATTTAATAGCAAAAAGATCATTCTTTTTGTTTTGTGACATAACAGACCTTTGGAATTATATCAAGTCTGTCATACTTTTTATGAATATTTGTAGCTTATCGAAATTTTTATGAAATTGGTTTAAGACTTTTATGATTTTTCTTTCTCTTAATAACTGTAATTAAAAATTTATATATATATATATTTTACACTTGTTTACTGTTGTGCACTTATGTATCTTTGCCTATTGTATTTTCTTATGTTAATGTATAGTCTGCATAAGATTTAAATTAAGCTGTTTCCATTTTATACAACTGATAAAATACTTGTGTAAAAAATTTATTCTTCAAATGTAAAAATTTTTCTGCGTTTTTCAAAAATTTTTTTTTTTGAAAAACGATTTAAATTGGGTTAAAACTTTTTCGCTGTTTAAGTAATCAATTTTTTTAATGAAAGGAAATACTTTTTAAAATAAATTAATTTAAAATAGTAACTCATATTGATGTTTTTTAGCTTCGTTTTCTTATTATAAAAAAGAAACTACTAAAATATTTTACCTATATGATGTCTTTTTAACACTTTGCAACATTATAAAAACTAACAAAATAATTTTTTTTATCTTTATTAGTATTTGAATTTCTAAAAAAGTTCATTTCTCTTATATGTTGACTATTTTAAAAATATGTATGAAAAAATACATATATTGTTCTTATAATAATATTCTTGTATGTTTTCTTTTATGTTAACTCTCGAATAAGGTAATTTTGATTTTTATGAATAACTTTGGAATGATAAAAATCTTTTTTCGTCACACCGAATATATATACAAAAATCAAAAGTACATCGATATTCAAAAATGACAATTATTGCTCATTGAAATTAAAATATTGTGTAAACTTCTATAGCCATTTAAAATTTACAACTTGCACATTTTGCGCTATTCTTATTAAGTGTTAAATTTAAGTTCTTGAGCTTTAAATTAAGTTCTTGAGCTTTAAATTAAGTTCTTGAGCTTTAAATTAAGTTATTAAGCTTTAAATTAAGTTATTAAATGTTGAATTAAGTTATTAAGCGCTAAATTTAAAACATTCAAGTTTATATGATTTGTCAGAAATTATTTGCATTCTACTAATCTAATAAAGATGACGTAGTTTTTTAAAACTAATCTTTACGCCCTTTAAATGAATACCATATAATTCTAACTTCTGTTATTCATTTATCTCAATTGTAACATGAATGTAATATAACAATAATCTGCTAACCTCTGTCAGATAAATAAAACAAACAACGAAAGATAGCCAAAATAACATTCCAGACTAAGTCTAATAGAAAGAAGATCATTCTATTAATCTTTGAAGTTTTGTAATCTATGAAGAAAAGTTTGGTTTTATTAGCGGATAATTACGTTATAGCCCAAATTATTAAGAAATTAGAAAAAATTTCCAAACAAGATTTTTATATATATAATTGAATTCTCATTATGGTTGTGTATTCCTGAAATTACCTTAATGAAATTTTTAATTTATAAATATATATATATACACATGCACTATTTACCAGTAAGCAATTGGACTTCAGTAATAAAAGAGATAAAAACAATTTATTCATATTCAATGGTTGCTAAAACCTCCAGGTAATTAACCACCTTAACCCTCCGGGGTCAGCTTTCCACAAGTGTTTGGATCAGCTTTCCACAGGGATATTTCCTTCCACTCCGCTTGGAGAAGAGCTGGTAAGTTCTTTCACCGATTTTGGATGCTTTCTGCACCCCTTAATTCGGTGATTCAACTCATCTCAGAGGTTTTCTATAGGATTTAGGTGTGGATTCTAGGCAGGCCAGTTCATACAGTTCACCCTGTTGTCACAATTTCCATAGTGGACCTTGCAACATAAGAAGTGACATTGTCATTCCGAAAGTAACAATGATCCAATACCTAAAATTGTAACAGCGTAGGAAGCACATTGTTATCTAGAATAGTGGAGTAGCAGTCGGCATTGAGCTTACCATGAATTAGGGTCAAGGGTCTCAGTTCATACCACGAGAAACTTCCTCACACCTTCTTCAAACTTTGCTGTACATACAATGCATTCTGGCAAAAGAGTCTTCCATGCACTCGCCGAACCCAGGTACTGCCAACCAGCTGATAAGGATTGAACCTTGATTCAGCACTCTAGAGAATCTGTTTCCACTCATCTATGATCCAATTTCAGCATTCCTTCCACTATCTCAACTAAGCAGTGTGGCTGGATTTTGTAATCGAAAGGTTATGAATAGTAGCATGACCATGGAAACGAAGCATATGTGTTTTTTTGTGAATGGTATTAATCAAAATAACAATCCAGCTTGTCTGAACTCCTGGAGTATGTGGCCCAACAGTTTGGTGCAGTTTTCCTAAATATCTCTGAACAGCAATTGTTGGTCTCTATCTATTACTTTGTCGTGTTCAAGCACATTTCAAAAATACCTAATCAGCTTCCACAGCTAAATCAAACCACTGTCGATTTTGATTTGTTTAACTTACCATCTGCATCCCTTAAGGATCTGCCATTTCTATGATATCTAACAATTATGACTTTTTCATAGTCAGACAGTTCAAAATTTCGTGGTATCTTATATGCAACTAATGCCATTCATGTTTCCTACATGATATTTAAGTACAAAAGTTGTGATCTAGAGCCACACATATCCTTATTTGCATGGGTGTCAAAATACTTATTGGTAAATTGTATATGTGTGTGTATATATATAAATGAGAAACTGAACTGATAGCTATTCTAAAATGAAATAGAAGTTTAATAAATCACGATGAATAATAACACTAAATATAATTATTTGTTGTTTTACTATTTATCTTATTTTAATCAGATATTGCTTTTAGTATCCTAGAGATTAAATTTTAAACTGTTTTGGGGACAAATCACCCCTCCATGCATAATTTTTTTAAATTCTTCACATTTGTATTCCTCCCAATCTTTTTATTTTTTGAATAAGTCATTCTTGCTATTGATTGAATATGATATGAAATATCAATTTTTGATAGTTAAAGTTAAAATATGCATTTCATTTAGAAGAAATAAGTTATTTTTTATTAATCTCAAATATCTCATTTTTCTGATGATAAGAAATTATGATGTGATTATTCAATAATTTGAACTAAGTTGTGTAATATAAACATCCAATTTTGCATCATTTGAGGAAAGCTAGTTTTCATCCTTTACCAAATGAAGCTGTGTTTACAATATTTGGTTGTCTTATGATTTATTTTTAGTCATTTTATGTACTTTTTGAATTTATCGTGCTTTATTTACTTTTGCTTTAATGATGATGCCAAATAGAGAGATATTTGTAAGATTCAGAATTATTATATTTTTATTCACTTTAATGTTTGAAGTCGTTTTAATTGTTAAAGTATATGGTTTTACAAAAAAAAATTCATATAAAATAGAGTTTTGTATTTTATTTTACAAATAAATGTTTTTTTATAGAATTGTGTTTCTATTATTTTTTGCAACTGATTTGCAATAATTGCACTCTATGTAAAATAATAATTTACATTCCATCTGTTTTCTTGATATGAATTTTAATATTTCCTTAAAATGCAGCCAGTAATGATATTTTAAAAAATCTAATTTTTTCTTAACTTATTCTCATTTTTTTTTTTTTAAAAAAAAGAACATGTTACGATATTTTGTGGAAGGTTGTCACTGATCGCACTAATATAATAAGTTGTCACTGAATTTGAGAAAAACTGTCATTTAATATCTTCTCTTGATCTCAATAACTATACAGCAGTAAAAACTCTCCCTTAGTAGTTTTCATGCTAATAATTAGCTTTAGTTGTTGAAACTATGTTAATATGGTTGATGCTAACAATTATTTTGCCAGGGGTTGTAGTTGTCCAGATAAGCTTGATTTTTGTGTTAAACACAAATATNTTGCCTAGTGTATTTTCTTATGTTAATGTATGGTCTGCATAAAATTTAAATTAAGTCGTGTCCATTTTATACAACTGATAAACTACTTGTGTAAAAAATTTATTCCACTAACGTTTTCTTATTATAAAAAAGAAACTAAGCTATTCTAAATATTTTGCCAACATGATGTGTTTATAACAATTTGCAACATTATTGATCAAAAACTAACAAAATAATTCTTTATCTTTGTTAGTATTTGAATTTCTAAAAAAGTTCATTTCTCTTATATGTTGACTATGGTAAAAATATGTATGAAAAGATACTTATATTATTCTTATAATAATATTCTTGTATGTTTTCTTTTATGTTAACTCTCAAATAAGGTAATTTTTATAAATAACTTTGGAATGATAAAAATCTTTTTTTGTCACACCAAATATATATACAAAAATCAAAGTTACTTTTAATTTTCAGTGTTCAAAAATTACAATTATTGTCATTGAAATTAAAATATTGTGTGAACTTCTATAGCCATTTAAAATTTACAAATTTCACATTTTTGCGCTATTCTTATTAAATGTTAAATTTAAGTTATTAAGCATTAAATTAAGTTATTAAATGGTGAATTAAGTTATTAAGTGTTAAATTTGTAACATTCAAGTTTATATGACTTATCAGAAATTATTTGCATTCTACTCACCTAATAAAGACCACTTATGATGTAGTATTTAAAACTAATTCTTACTCCCCTTAAATGAATACCATGTAATTCCATCTTCTATTATTCATTTATCTCAATTGTAACATGAATGTAATATAACAATAATCTGCTAACCTCTGTCTGATAAATAAAAGAAGCAACAAAAGATAGGCAAATTAACATTCCAGACTAGGTCTAATAGAAAAAAAATCATTCTGTTTATCTTTGAAGTTTTGTAATCTATGAAGAAAAGTTTGGTTTTATTAGCAGCCCAAATTATTAAGAATTTAGAAAACATTTCCAAACAAGATTTTTATATTTATAATTGAATTCTCATTATGGTTGTGTATTCCTGAAATTACCTTGATGAAATATTTAATTTATCCATATATATATATAAATATACGCACTATTTACCAATAAGTAATTGGACTTCAGTAATAAAAGAGATAAAAACAATTTATTCATATTCAATGGTTGCTAGAGCCTCCACATGAGGTAATTATCCACCTTAACCCTCCGTGGTCAGCTTTCCACAAGTGTTTGGATCATAGACAGTGGTATTTCCTTCCACTCCGCTTGGAGAAGACATGTAAGTTTTTTCACCGATTTTGGATGCTTTCTGCATCCCTTAATTCAGTGATTCAATTCATCTCAGAGGTTTTCTATAGGATTTAGGTCTGTATTCTAGGCAGGCCAGTTCATATGGTTCACCCCGTTGTCACAATACCAATCCATGGTGGACCTCGCAACGTAAGAAGTGACGTTGTCATTCCGAAAGTAACAATGATCCAATACCTAAATTCGTAACAGCGTAGGAAGCACATTGTTATCTACAATAGTGGAGTAGTAGTCGACATTGAGCTTGCCATGAATTAGGGTCAAGGGTCGCAGTTCATACCACAAGGAACTTCCTTACACCTTCTTCAAACTTTGCTGAACATACAATGCATTCTGGCAAAAGGTGTCTTCCACGCACTCGTCAAACCCAGGTACTGCCAACCAGATGATAAGGATTGAACCTTGATTCATCACTCTTGAGAATCTGTTTCCACTCATCTATGATCCAATTTCGACGTTCCTTGCACTACCTCAACTAAGCAGTGTGGTTGGATTTTGTAATCAAAAGGTTATGAGCTGTAGCACGACCATGGAAACAAAGCATATGTGCTTTTTTGTGAATGGTATTCATCAAAATAACAATCCAGCTTGTCAGAACTCCAGGAGTATGTTGCCCAACAGTTTGGAGCAGTTTTCCCAATTATCTTTGAACAGCAGTCGTTGGTCTCTATCTATTATTTTCATGAGTCTGTCGGGTCGAAGCCCATTTCAAAAAATACATAATCTACTTCCACAGCTTAATCAAACCACTGTCGATTTTGATATGTTTAACTTACTAAATATATTCCTTAAGGATCTGCCATTTCTATGATATCTAACAATTACGCATTTCTCATAGTCAGACAGATCAAAATTTCGTGGTATCTTAAATACGACTAATACCATTGATGTTTCCTACTTAATATTTAAGTTCAAAAGTTGTGACCTAGGACCACACATATCCTTATTTGCATGGGTGTCCAAATACTTATTGGTAAATTGTATGTGTATATATATCTATATATATATGTATAAAAATGAGAAACTGAACTGATAGCTATTCTAAAATGAAATGGTAGTTTAATAAATCACGATAAATAATAACACTAAAATTAATAAATTGTTGTTTTACTATTTATCTTATTTTGATCAGATATTGGTTTTAGTATCCTAGAAATTAAATTTTAAACTGTTTTGGGGGCAAATCACCTCTGCATGCATAATTTTTTAAAATTCTTTTCATTTGTATTCCTCCCAATGTTTTTATTTTTTGAATTAGTCATTCTTGCTATTGATTGAATATGATATAAAATATTAACTTTCCATAGTTAAAGTTAAAATATGCATTTCATTTAGAAGAAATAAATTATTTTTAACTAATCTCATAATTATTTTTAACTAACTAATATCTCATAATTTCCTGATGAGAAGAAATTATGACATGATTATTCAATAATTTAAACTAAGTTGTGTTACATAAACATCCAATTTTTCATTATTTGAGGACAGCTAGTTTTCATCCTTTACTAAATGAAACTGTGTTTACAATATTTGGTTGTCTTATAATTTATTTTTAGTCATTTTATGTATTTTTTGAATTTATCATGCTTTATTTACTTTTGCTTTAATGTTGATGCCAAATAGAGAGATATTTGTAAGATTCAGAATTATTATATTTTTATTCACTTTAATGTTTGAAGTCGTTTTAATTGTTAAAGTATATGGTTTTACTAAAAAAATTTAATATAAAATCGATTTTTGTATTTTATTTTACAAATAAATGTTTTTTTATAAAATTGTGTTTTAATTATTTTTTGCAACTGATTTCCGATAATTGCACTCTATGTAAAATAATAATTTATATTCCACCTGTTTTCTTTATATGAATTTTAATATTTCTTTAATATGTAGCCAACATTGATATTTTGAAATTCTAATTTTTTCTTCTTTTTCTTAGCTTATTTTCAGTCCTTTTTTATTTTTTTTTACGGAAAAAAAAAATTATTACATATTTTGTCACTGATCTCACTATTATAGTAAGTTGTCACTGAATTTGATGAAAACTGTCATTTAATATCTTCTCTTGATCTCAATAACTAGACAGCAGTAAAAAACTCTCCCTTAGTAGTTTTCATGCTAATAATTATATTTTGTTTATTGAAACTATGCTAATATGGTTGGTGCTAGCAATTATTTTGATTATCCATGCCAGATTTTGTAGTTGTCCAGATACACTTTATTTTTATGTTAAGCACAAATATTATGTCTAATTTTAAAATATTTTTGAATCGAAATATTTGGATTTTTAAGCCTATATCTTTTTATTTTATTTAACAATGATAGTAAAAATCACAAAAGTTCATAGTTCATACTTAAGGACAGTCCACTAATATACATAGTTCAGCCAAATATCCTAACCATCAGAATTCATGGTATCAAACGTTTGGGGAGTCATTTTATGAAAAAAGGACTCAAATGACAATTTTAATTTATCAAATTTCTGTGGTTATGAATTCAGGGATCGAACCCTCTTTATTATTTTCTGCAAAGTAGTAACAAATCTTTTACCAATGGAGTTTTGCCATTTCACAGTTATTGATTCATTTCTTTCTTCTGATCTTAAAAATAATCAATCTCAATCAACAATACAGTATTTATATTAATATTAAATGGGAAGCTTTGAGGGAATGATCATCCACAAAATTGCTTTTGTACAAAAATATTTAAAAGATATTCAATGCGTGTTTGTTTCCAGATTGTTGAAACCCTGTTTTAAACTTATTTGGTCAGGTCTTGAATTTATTTTGAAGTCTTAAGTTCATTTACAGATGGCAATTAAATGTTTTTATGAGGGTACATTAACAAATTTTTTTTAATGCAACAGTGCTATAAAAATTTTCTGTTTATTAATCTCAATCTGTAATTAGTTGTTCACTGCTCTGTTAATAAAATTATTCTGGAAACAGTTTAAACATTCTGTTCTTAACAAGGTATTAAGTTGTTTTATCAATTTATAAGAATCTACAACCTGTTATAAACACCTAGTATATTTTATTAATCTTTTGCAATAAAATTTGCCTTTATTTTGTTCAAGTAGGTTATGGTTTTTGTTTATCGCTTGCTGTAAAGTAGTCTGGTATGCGAATACTCTACCGAAAAAGCCATGATTTTTTTATTTTGCCGACAATGAGGTCTGATATTCAGAACAAAAACATGCTTCTCTAAATGAGTTTTTCATCACAATAGTGAGATAGATTAAATTCAGAAAAACGTTAGCTCATACTTTTTAATCATATTCCAGCAACTATCTGTACAAATTTTAGTCTTTGATTTCAATTATTTGATAGATAAATGGTCAACATAGATTAAATTAAGTTATCAAAGTCTGATGTTTGAAATTTGATGAATTAGATTTCAACAGATGAATTTTTTGGGGCAAATGCATGCCCCTTAAAATTAGTGTTCTGCAGTTTAAAAAATGAAATATTTTGTTTGGATTGCAATAATATTGTTTAGTGAATCGAAGGTTAACTTAATTTTTCTTAAAATTCAACTTTGTGCCGGTCAGACCTTTTAACAGAAACGATTGGAAAAAAAAAAATTGAAATGATAGCAATACTTTAATAAATTTGACTCAATCTGATTTAATAACAAGCTGTAGCAGAATAATACAATTAGATACATTGGTTCAATATTATGTTTTGCTTATTAAAGTAAATGATTATTAAAAGCTAATTATCAAAAGCTAATTTTAAATTTTTTTAATTTCGTTTTAGAAACATTTTAATGTTTTTCCAGTACAATATTTCATTTCATACTTTTTAAGGTTAAATTTTAAACAAAAAAAAATCAGGAATAAATTTTTGCTAATTTTATATATTAATAAATTATATTAATATGCTTATATTTTATTTATGTTAAGGATATGTTTATATTTTAATGTGCTTATTATTTGATGCGTTTACAAATTTCATTATATGTAGTTAAAAACAAACAATTTTGAAATTTTGATTTATGCTTTAATATGAGCTCTTTTTATTTTTCTCATCTCCTTATTTTTTTCATGTTTGATCCATTTTTTTCCTTGCTGTTGTTTCTAATGCTGTTGTTTCTTTAACTTAAAAGATTTGAAAGTCAAGACATGAATTAACGCACTTCCTTCTTCTACGACTCTGCCATAACCATCTAGATCAGAGTTTCTTAACCTGTGGTTCATGGACCCCTTAGGGGTCCATGGGTCATATTTTGGGGGTACGCCAACTCTTTTTAAGACGATTGGAACAATAATATTTAAATAACATTGATCTTTTTTTTTTCTAAAAGGTGAAAATACATACATATTTGAAACTAGGTGATTGAGATACCCCAAATTCAGTGCTACCCCTCATTTTTTATGAGCCGTCCCTTTGCTCCTTTCTCTTAATTATGCCAGCTATCCTCCCCAATATGAGGAAAAGAACATTCGCAAACCATATAAAGTTTAACATTTTTACGAACACAAAGTAGCCTTCGAATTTCATTTCAATTGAAAATAAAGTAAAAATAATTTATGGTTTTTGCAAAAATTTTTTTTACAGGGGGTGGTCTGTGACTTCTTAAAAATTTTTAAAAAGGGTCCATTATAACTGAAAGGTTAAGAAACACTGATCTAGATGGTTAGGACTCTGCACACACTTCCATTTAAAACATGGGAAGGTGCTGCCATAGTTAGAGTGTTACGCCATCTGTAGCCCATTTCGATAACCAATAGGTAAAGAGTTCTCCTTTACATCTCTCTCGGCTGTTTTGGTCAGGAAAGTTTGTTTACCTGTAACCGTAACTTATTTACTGCTAAAGCAAAAATACTGTTTGCTAAGAGCTAAACTTATTTACTATTCGCATTTATTTTAATAAATCGACCCTTTAAATTTTTTGATTAAAATTCCTTAAGATGGAAGTACTATCAATTAACTCTGATTCGAAACTCACAGATGTATTAAATCAAAATGCTGAGTAAGGTTCTTTTTTTAATTTTATTTCTTAACTTACCTACCGGCATAAAATTTTTTCTCCTAAATATCCATCTAGTCTGGACGACTTAAATGAAATAACATAATTTTATTAATATATAGGTACTTAAAAATGACTTCATTAATTTATTTTGTATGTATTTCCTTATATACTGTTAATTTATTTTCTAGGAGATTAACAGTTCTGTACTTTTATGTTGAAGATTCTGCAGAATGTCATCAGATGAGTGATGTTGTTACTGAACTAAGTAAAGACTCTAGATTTAAAGATATTACTTTAGGGAAAGTAGGTTTTAAGTTCTGCCATGAAATTTTTGCCTTAGCTGTATTTTAATTTGCTATGATTACGTAGGAGATCATTGTTAAAATTATAATCTATGTAATTGATTATTTTAACCTAATGTTGAGGAAACAAATTCTCTCAACACTTATGATTGAGTATGACTATATATAAAAATCGGAAAATCTTGCTAAGAATTTGTTTAAAAGTAATGCATAAAAAATATTTTTTTTCTAGAAATTTTTTCTAATGTGGAAGAAATAATTTATCAACTCTATTTTAATCAATAGTTTTTCTACTTTTAATTTCTTAATTTCATTTTGTTTTGCATTCATATTTTAATTATCTCAAAATTTCTAACATGTAAATTTCTTTTTTTTAAGCATTCTAATTCTTATTCATACTCAAAACTTTTTAAATAAAAACTCACAAGAAAAAAAATTACAAAATTCAAATATTAATGTTGGTTAAAGCAAGATAGGATAGGATTATTCAGATTTTCTAAAGTATTCAATTCTTAATAAAAATTAAAAGAAAACACGAAGACCCAAAACTTACAAATAAATAAATCATAACATAGTTGAAATTAGAGAATTTTTCTTTTTTAGGGATTCAGTTTCACTTTACAAAGTTAATATTTTGATTGTCAAAATCAAACTATGGTTCGAACACAAAACTGAATGTATTCATAGCTATCTAATCTAAACACCCATAAGCAGATTATTTTAACTTTATCTGAATAATTTTAATGATAGGCATACATATTTTTCTTTGTAAAAAATGTTGATTTTTTTCCTTCCCTTTGAAAGTATTTTTCAACTGCGTCTACTTTTCCCCGCCATTCTATTAGTTAAGTAAAATTGTGTTTTATATGCTTTAAAGTAAGGAAATACAATTATGCATCATTATTTGAACTTAAGAATCCAATTTTAATTTTTTGATAGAGCTTAAAGAAAATGCCTTTTTTCAATTTAATTTTTTGTATTAAATTGTACTATTATAATAATTTATGCGATTTTCTTTATTCTACAAACCCTAATATTGAACAAGATTTGAGGGTAGAGACATAATTTTTAAATTGCTATTTGATAATTCTTTAAATAAATAAATTTTTATAGCATATTTTTAAAATCACTACAGTATATCTTCTTTCTGGTGAAGAGAAAGTTTTGTGACATATCGTGTCAAATCTTTTCTATGGAATTTTATATTCAGTAAAATATATGATTTATTTTTTTCCACTACATACAAAATAAGATTGTGACACTATTTTTTTTTTTTTTTTTTTTTCAAAAAAAATTTCTATCAAGTTCTGAGTGTTCTTATTAAATTATATTTTTTGCATTGTTATTCTAATTTTTATTTATTATTATTTTTTAGTTATTATTATTTTTTAGTTAAAACTTTTATTTATTATGATGTGCTACAAGTTTTCATAATGTCATTTAGACAAATGTAAACAGTCTTCATTTTGCTACCTATTTCATCTTTGTTTTGTTATAGAAAAAACAAGTTTGATCACCTACTGAAGGTATAAAACAAGCTTTGTTCTCGATAAGTGAAAGTTTTTCTAGAAATTGAAATTGACTTGAGATGAGATAAGATATGTTATTGAAAACTATTTTAATATTACCGTTTATCACAGTTTATGAAAATTAATCTAGATTATCTCGCAGTGGACTGACCGTTAAGACACGGTTCCCAGCAGATCACCGAAGTCAAGCATCACTGGCTACAGTCAGTGTGCGGGTGGGTGACCACTTGGATCAGTCTGCGTAGGGACCGAGGGTGTGCGGTATTGGTCCGCGTTAAACTGTGCTACTGTAAAGTGCTCGACTTCGCGCGCAGGTCGTCGGGCTACCGAAGCGGGGGTGCCATCTCTTCCGCATAGGATCAAAATTGTGATGGCATGTCTTCGGATCATCCTCCGGGATGTTTCCCAGACCGTCACCAATAGCCCATTGTGCAGCTCTAGTGCGACGTAAAGTAACAACAACTAATCTAGATTAAATGCAATATTAGACAAAAAATTTTTTGGAATTAATCGTTGTATTGCAAATAAATACTGACACTAAGTAAATCAAATTAAGCGTATATATTGCATATTATGTTAAAACTTAGGATAATAATGAGGAAAGAAAATACTACAGATATAAATAGTAAAACAACAAAGGGCTACTGGAAGTACATTATAAGATAAATGGAACAATTTAAAGCCAATTCTAATAAAAAATTAAAACAATGAATCTAGTGTTTAATATATGTATGATTACTCAAAAACAGTTGAAGCAATAATAAAACAAAGTGCTAAAGCAAGTAGAAGAAATTACTGTTTCGATGAAAGAAGAAAAAAAAAGAGAAGCATCATAATGCAAACAACCCAATTGTTCAAAGCTTGATAAACATCAGCCATTACCTATAGACCAGAATTTTTGACAGATTATTGAAACAATAGTTTAATCAGAAACCTATTCATTCTTTAAATAATGACAAAATTGTATTTATTAGTAATGGTGTAGCTTAACTACCAACATTTCTTGCGTAAGGCTTTACACAGGAAGGAAAATAGTGTCTTATTTTCTACACCAGAACGAAACAACATAAAGCAGAACCAGTCAGAAGGTTGTTCGAGCTACAAATTGGAACTTTACAAGAAACTTTAGTTCAGAACTATGGTTCTAAGGATTCTTAAAATACATATCTGGGAATTTGATCTAAGTTTAAAAAAAAGAAACGAGATACAGGTTATCTCGAACGTTGATTGGAACTATAGATCATGAAAAGGTTTTGAATATGGCTGTAAGAAGAGAAAAAAAAATGAACTTACCTAGTTATTTTTTAAACTGATTGTTTGCAACAAGGTTTTAAAAATTGCATTTTTATTTTCCATTGCAGATTGAAGCTACCAAATGTGAAGGAATTGCTAAAAGATATGATGTTACTAGTGCACCAACTTTCATTTTTATTTCAGTTAGTAAATTTATTATTTATTTACTCCTAGTTATTTGTTCGATCTATAATCACTTTTATTTTATTCCTACTTTAAATTATTGTTTTGTTTTATTAGAAAAAATCAGTTGCTGATAAATTAATTGGGGCCAATGTTCCAGCATTCTCAAAAAAACTAAAAGAAAATTTAGAAAATATTCAAGCTAATGATAGTGAAGAAGTAAGTATCTTTGATAATGCATACTGACCATTTATAATTTTTTATGTAAGTGTAAATTGAATAGTATTTAAAAATAACAAATATTTTCTGAAATAATTGATTTCATATCATTTTATTTGTGTGATTTCCTCATTCATTGTGTATTTTTTGATGAAGGGAGGGAGGGATTTAAGGAAGGACAATTGATTTCAGTAAAATATTAAACGTGCGTTTATTATGCTTTTTATAAACAACATATGTGTTAAATATGATAGAAGTTGAATATTTGAATTGGAATAAACTGAAATCAGAATTTTCTAAATTTTGAATGCTGTTGAGTAATTCAAAAGATAGAATGAAGTTCAAACCTTGTTTTTGTAAAATCATAATTGTAATTTATTTATTATTATTATTATTTTTATAAGGTTTGCTATTTATGATAATTCCATTTTTTTTCTCATTAACCTTAATTTTACTAATCTTATAGCATAAAGTTTTCAAACAATGAGTATTTCAAGTATTTTGTAAACTATTTTGTGTTTAAATAAAAAATTACAAAAAAAATTAATAAAATTTAAATAAAATAATTACTGAAAGTTTTAAAATAAAATAATTATTATCAAATATTAATTATTAGTTTCAAAAATATATTTTTGCAGTGAACTGCATTGATTCATACATTAAACTAATGTGATAAAGACAAAATTTACTACTGGTTATATAGTTATATAAATATGTTGCATGGCAGTTTACTGTTTGATTTTTATTTCTTTATTATTTCTTTATTAGTGTTAATCTATTTGTTGGTGCTCTACAAATTTGTTTTGGGGTAAATTTCGTTATAGTTCTGATTGTAAAATAAAATAAGAGAAATATTTTTTTTCGGAGTCAAAATTTTAAAAAATAAAAGTTTGTCAAGGATTTATTATATTTATTATTATTATTAAATTACATGTATATTTTCCAATTTCTATGTAGCCAATGAAAACATTTTATTATCTATTCTTAAATTTTGTATAAATTAGAAAACAGATTAATTAGAAAAGTTGTTAAAAGTATTGAGTTAATTTTTTTTAGAAAATTTTCAGTTCCCCCAGAGCTGTATTATATTTTGCAATTTATTATATTAAAAACAAATTATTACTATTATTTTATTTTTCTATTTTCGATTAACTTTTATATTCTTATTAGAAACAATTTTTATTCAAAATTGAAATCTTATCAGCAATAAACAATTTTACTCTTTTTCAATGATATTTCTTATTACATAGATGACAAAATACTATCTGTGCTACTATAATTCTCACCACATGCTTGAAATAGCTAATCCCTGGTTTTTTAGATCAGTGGTTATAAAATAGTGGCCCGCATCTGGCACACGAAGCCTTTTTTTGTGGCCCGCGAACTAAAATATGTTAGTTGTCGTTCTTTTTTTTTTGGGACAATTTTCTTAAAAATCTATATGAGTTTAAAATACATTTCTTTCGTTTTGAAAAACCTAAATTCTTCCTTTCTGTGAAATTTAACATTCCAACGATTGGAACGGTTTCAGGTTTTGCATCCAAGAAAATATTTATTCAAATACAAAAATAATCGTGTATGTTGCTTTTTTTTATTTATTTATTTATTTTTTTGTATTTTGTGAACATAATTTTGCTTGTGCGTATCAGAAATTTTCTCGAAGAAATTTTCCCATTTAACTTTTTGAAACTACTCATTTTGGACGAAATTATTTACATTTGTAAATTTTAAAACTCATAAAAGAGGGAATGGATATTATGTTTTATTTAAATTCTTTGAATTGAATATTGCATGAGCTGAAAAGAAAAGAAAAAAATTTAATTTTAGATACTTGAGAATTTTTTTGTTGCTATAATTCCTAAAAAGTTGAAATTTTTTTATAATTTATCACAGAATTAAATTTAAAAGGAAAAAAAATCTCTTCACTAAGTTTCTGATTAAGAGAAGATTCAAAATGATATGTAACAAGCATTATTTGTAATGCTTGTTATTTTGTTTTTTAATATTAAGAAACTTTGATAAAAATCTGACAGTAATATTTAATGTTTCTTCAAACATAACAGAGTCCTAAATAAAATTTTGATGAAGTTGTGGCCCGCCATTTGACTGTTGTTTTTAATTGCGGCCCCCGGTCACATGTAAGTTGGAAACCCCTGTTTTAGATGAATAAAATAAGTTATTTTGGTGAAAACAGTAATAAAATACGTTTTGGCAAGGATTGGAAAATTATAACCAACTCGTTCATATTGGATATCTCATTCATATAAGGTTCTCCATGTGTCAAAAAAATACTATGCCTAAGATGTCTTATAAAACAGAAAATTGCACATTGCCATTGAGATTCCTGTGATTCAACCTTACCCTGAAAATTTCTCTTTGAATTGAATTCTAATTGATAATACATTTGGAAAAATTTATTTTATTTGGCAATTTATATGCTATAATAAGCATTAAAAGTATTAAATTTTACACTTATATAATTATTTTGTTATGAAATTATGCTAGAACATTTTATAATATAATTTTATGTTAATATTCAATGTTTTTAGGATTTGGATACAAGATTAAAAAAATTAATTAATAAAGCCCCTGTTATGCTTTTCATGAAGGGAAACCCAACTGGTCCAAGATGTGGTATGTTAATCAGTTTTTGCTTTTAATTTTAAAGATTTATTTATGTAAATTAAGCTCCTAAAAATGACCTTCTCATTCATTAGTTCCTTTTTCCCTTAAGATTAGTAAGTCTTGAAAAATCAAGGTTAACTACATTTAATTTATTTGCTTTTAAATATTCCAATTTATTGTGAAATGCATTTTTATTTTGACTTGATTTCTTAATTGTTTTTCATTACTTGCCTACAGTTTCTTTTCTTTTTTTAAAATTTATGACAGAAATCAGCTTTTTTTAAAATTTTGAAGTGGGTTAAGATGATTATTGCTATTGAAAATAACATTCTGTCAGCATTTAATGAGAAAAAAACAATGCGTTTTAAGCTTGTATTTTCTTCATTATTAAAACAGAATTAAAAACTGCTTTGGTTATATATGGTTTGGTGAAGTTTCAGTAAATAAGTTTTTTTTCGTTAGAAATCAGGTATTTAAAGTTGCCAAAGATTTTTCATAATGATTCGTGAAAAGTGGAGTAAAAGCAAAGTTTTGCAAGGCTTTTACACATATAAGTCCGTTATTTTTGTGTCTCTTAAATGTTTTTACTATCTTAATGTTGTGGTGGTTAATACAAATTTTAAACCATATTTTTTAAACCCAGGATAAAATATGTAAGCATAAAAATTGGTACTATTATTAAGTATTGATTATAAAAGGTTTCAGATTTGTGGATTAAATGGCCATGAAATTATTTTAATGCACAATTTGTAGAAATGATGCTTTATTCGATAAAGGATTTTGTTTTTTCCATGCTTGCTACTTATACTGCCAATCCTTTTTTGTTTGATTTTAAAGATATGATTATGAACTTTTTACCCACTTAAGGAAACATTACAATGAAATTTGGTTAACCAATTCAGAGCCTGAACTAAACTTTCGCCACTTCGCCAAATATGATAAAATTGTAAATTCGGCAAAACAAATTGTCTTTTGGTGAACAATTTCAATGTTGGTAATATTCCTAAAATTCTGCTTTCACACGTTATTCGTGAGAGTTTTATTTTGTCTCCGTGTGGAGAGCGGCATTTTTCGACTTTCACAAGGCTCACTCCTGTTGTGCTAATTTGTACATTTCAAGTTCCATTCATGTGTACTCAGGGTATTCGGCAAAACCATCAGTTTTATCTATCCCTGAATATAAACACAACACCTATTTTTATCCTTTCTTGCCAATGATCCCATACAATCTTATTTCTGCTTGCTCATGCCATTCGTGAGCACTTATTTTTGTCTCTAGAGCAGTGTTTTGCTGTATCCGCTTATTATTTTTTTCATTTTCACATTATTTTTGAAGTGCTGGTGCTTTAATACTATACTATTACGACTTTCGAATTGGGCATTCAATTCTAAATTTTATACCAAATGTGTTTGTATTTTATAAAATAATTCCCTATATAGTTAATTTGCTTTTTGATTTGAAGTTTTTTTTATGGGAAAAAATGAATTATTAAATATTGTTGAAATTTGCCTTTTGCTAAGACATTTGAAATTTGGCTGATACTTTTGATATTTGACTAATAATTTGAGGTAATTAGTGCGTGTCCTGGTATTAATTGTGTTTGGTTCAACACTTTAGTTGCTTAATAATGCTTTTTAAAAAATTTCTTACACTTGAATTCTCTTTTCTCTTCATGAAAAGATCAATTAATAAAATTATGTTTTTCTCTTTTTGCTTTATCATTTGACTTTGCTAGTAAAATTGTTTGATTTCATTAAGATCTCTTTCATTCTGATTCAGAGATTGATATAAAATTTTCTAATCAGTATAGTGATTCAATATCCATATGAAATCAATTACCTTAATAATAATCAGTTAAAGCAAATTGAAATTATCTTTGTTTTTTAATACTTCTAACATTTGTATTTGTAGTGATGTATGTATTTTTCTCTTCTAAATTTTAATCTTTGCATAATGGCGTTGAATAATATAAATTTTAATTTCTAGGCTTTAGTAAACAAGTGATTGCTCTTTTGAATAGTTATAATGCTAAATATGAAACATTTGATATTTTAGAAGATTTTGAAGTTAGAGAAGGTATGTTTTTTTTTATTAATTAAAATATTTTGTAATTATTGAAGCTTTTTAAACATAATGGTTCTCTTTCTTTTTTCTCCTCTTAAAAGTAGATTTTGTGAATACAATTTTTTATGTGCAGATATTCTAATTACTTTTTCACTCCAGTTAGTTAGTCTGCTTTATATGTTACTAGGATTTTATTTGCTTTTAAACAACATTTAAATTAACTGTAAGAGTTTTTTTTTCTTTTAACAATATACTTGTAATTTTGTATACAATTTAAATCATTTTACATTGTATATTACGACCATAACTATTTAGTTTACAATTTAAGTGAATTAAAATTCAAAGTAAGTTTATAAATTCAACATAAATATTTGCCTTGATAAAAGCAATAGAAATTTGACGTAATAATTTCCCTTCACCCCTACTTTTATTTAACATCTTAATAAAGATTAATATGCATCTGATAGTTCTGATACTTAAAGTTTCAGGTTTTTGTAGCTTATCTTAGTTGTACCAGTATCAGTTTGTAACTGATAGTGAAAAAGAAAGAAAAAAGATACTTATGATGTCTGATATCTTCTTTCTTTGTTATTAATGAATCTAGATTAAAATTATATTTGATATTTTTTCAGAATTCAATTTTAAATTTATTTATGTCAGCAAGTTTTTAAATTTAACTTTTAAATTTATTTACTTATTTTAGCAGTGTGGGATGATTCAGTGAATATATTGAAATATGCAAAATCATTTNTTACTTTTTTTTTTTTTTTTTAAACTTTGTGACAGAAATCGGCTTTTTTCAAATTTATAGTGGGTTAAGATGATTATTTCTATTGAAAATAGCATTCTGTCAGCATTTAATGAAAAAAAAACAAGTTTTAAGCTTGTATTTTCTTCATTATTAAAAAGGAATTAAAAACTGCTTTGGTTATAAATGTCCCGTTAAAATGGTTTGATGAAGTTTCAGTAAATAAGTTTTTTTTTCGTTAGAAATCAGATATTAAAAGTTGCCAAGGATTTTTCATAATGATTCGTGAAAAGTGAGGAAAAGCATTAAAATTATTAGCATTTTTTAAAGTTTTGGGAGACTTTTACACATATTAGTCATCATTTTCAGGACTCTTAAATGTTTTTACAATCTTAATGTTGTAGTGGTTAATATAAATTTTAAACTATGTTTTTTAAACCCAGAATAAAATATGTAAGTCTAAAAATTGGTACTATTATTAAATATTGATCATAAAAGGATGAAATTATTTTAAGGCACAGTTTATAGAAATGATGCTTTATTCGATAAAAGGTACGTTTTGTTTTTTTCCATGCTTGCTACTCTTACTGCCAATCCTTTTTTATTTGATTTTAAAGATATGATTACGAACTTTTTACCTACTTAAGGAAACATTACAACAAAATTTGGTTATCCAATGCAGGGCCTGAACTAAACTTTCGCCACTTTGCCAAATGTGATAAAATTTTAAGTTCAACAAAGCAAATTGTCTTTTGGTGGACAATTTCACTGTTGGTAATTTCCCTAAATTCTGCTTTCACACCTCATTCTTGAGTGCTTGGTTTTGTCTTCTGGTAGAGAGTGACGTTTTTCGGCTTTCACAAGGCGCACTCCGGTTGTGCTTATTTGTACATTTCAGGTTCAATTCATGTGTACTTGGGGTGTTCTGCAAAACCATCAGTTTTATCCATCCCTGAATGTAAAGTCAACACCTACTTTTATCCTTTCTTGCCGATGACTCCTTTCTGCTTGCACTTATTTTTGTCTCTAGAGCAGTGTTTTGCTGCATCTACTTATTTTTTTTCTTCATTTTCACATTATTTTTGAAGTGCTGATGTTTTAATACTATACTGTTACGACTTTCGAATTGAGCATTTCAATTCTAAATTTTATACAAAATGTGTTTGTATTTTATAAAATAATTCCCTATATAGTTAATTTGCTTTTTAATTTGAAGTTTTTTATGGGAAAAAAATAAATTATTTAATATTCTTGAAATTTGCCTTTAGCTAAGACATTTGAAATTTGGCTGATACTTTTGATATTTGGCTAATAATTTGAGGTAATCAGTGCGTGTCCTGGTATTGATCGTGTTTGATTTGACACTTTAGTTGCTTAATGCTTTTTAAAATTTTTTTGATGCTTCTTGTATTCTCTTTTCTCTTCATGAAAAGATCAATTAATATTATTATTTTTTTCTCTTTTTGCTTTATCATTTGACTCTGCCAGTAAAATTGTTTGATTTCATTAAATTGAGTATATAATGTTATTTGTATTGTATTTGGTGCAATATTAAACATTTTCCTGTGTTGTATTAAAAAATAATGATTATAAGATAATAATTTTAAGATCTGATGTATTATAGTAAGTATTTTAAGATAATGATCATTCTGATTTAGAGATTGATCTAAAATTTTCTAATCAGTATAGTGATTCAATATCCATATGAACTACCTTATAATAATCAGTTAAATCAAATTGAAATTATCTTTGTTTTTTAATACTTCTAACATTTGTATTTGTAGTGATGTATGTATTTTTATCTTCTAAATTTTAATCTTTGCATAATGACATAGAATAATATAAATTTTAATTTCTAGGCTTTAGTAAACAAGTGATTGCTCTTTTGAATAGTTATAATGCTAAATATGAAACATTTGATATTTTAGAAGATTTTGAAGTTAGAGAAGGTATGTTTTTTTATTAATTAAAATATTTTGTAATTATTGATGCTTTTTGAACAGAATGTTTCTCTTTCTTTTTTCTCCTCTTAAAAGTAGATTTTGTGAACACAATTTTTATGTGCAGATATTCTAATTACTTTTTCACTCCAGTTGGTTAGTCTGCTTTATGTGTTACTAGAATTTTATTTGATGATTTCCCTTCACCCCCACTTTTATTTAACATCTTAATAAAGATTAATATGCATCTGATAGTTCTGATACTTAAAGTTTCAGATTTTTGTAGCTTATCTTAGTTGTACCAGTATCAGTTTGTAACTGATAGTGAAAAAGAAAGAAAAAAGATACTTATGATGTCTGATATCTTCTTTCTTTGTTATTAATGAATCTAGATTAAAATTATATTTGATATTTTTTCAGAATTCAATTTTAAATTTATTTATGTCAGCAAGTTTTTAAATTTAACTTTTAAATTTATTTACTTATTTTAGCAGTGTGGGATGATTCAGTGAATATATTGAAATATGCAAAATCATTTATTCATTCATGATATTCATCAAAATTCATTGTTAATCTTATTATTGTTCCTTTTTTTTATTGTCAGTATGCCTTAGTTATTCAGCACAATATTACCTTTAGTTAGTTTGCATGTACCCAATTTTGTTAAGCATTGAAATAATAGGATATGATTATTTATTTTGATTTAAATATTTTGTTAGAAAATTATGTCTGCTATTATTCAGGATCCAATTTTAATTTGGTTATTTTTCTGTTTTTAATATTTCCCGTCTTCCTCTAAAATTACTTTATCTAACTATTTATAGATTTTAGCAATATGATTTGTGTACACTATTGAAAATGTAATGCTAAAAAATCGTGTCCGATAAATGTCTAAAATCATCAAAATTCAATTTTTAATTTATTTATTCATTATTGTTCTATTTTTTATTATTCTTTACTTTTATTTATTATGATTTCAATTTTGGTAAATAAATAACATGTTCAATATCATTATGCAGTGAAAATCATATGATGAGCTATCTTCTATTTAAATTATGATATGGAAAAATTATGTTTCCTATTCTTTATGGCTCAATTTTAAATGTCGTGTTTTTAAATATTCCTTATCTTCTTTAACAATTCTACATCTTCAGTATTAGTATTTGTTGTAAATTTGGTTAATGGGCTGAAGAAATTCTTTTGTTCTAACCTTATATTCTTTTGATTTCAGTTTTAAATAAATTTATTAGTATTCTTTTTTATCTTCTTTTTTTAAAATATTTGATATTATGAGTGATGCGTTTGGCGTTCTTTGGAATTTAATTTTGAACTTGTTTTGATTGCTTTATTTTTCTTTTTAAATATTAATTTTCTTCACTTATTTTCTCTTATCTTCACTTTATTTATAATGAACTCTGATATTAAGTAAAAAAATTTTAAGTGTAACAGTTTATTTACTCTATTGATTAAAGATATTTGTCTTTTTGTATTAATAATTTACTACTCTAGTATTANAGAAGTGTGTGATGATTCAATGAATATATTGAAATATGCAAAATCATTTATTCATTCATGATATTCATTAAAATTCATTGTTAATCTTACTCATTATTGTTCCTTTTTTTTATTTTCAGTATGTCTTAATTATTCAGCACAATATTACTTTTGTTTTGTCAATATTACTTTGTCAGCAAGTTTTTAAATTTAACTTTTAAATTTATTTACTTATTTTAGAAGTTTGTGATGATTCAATGAATATATTGAAATATGCAAAATCATTTATTCATTCATGATATTCATTAAAATTCATTGTTAATCTTACTCATTATTGTTCCTTTTTTTTATTTTCAGTATGTCTTAATTATTCAGCACAATATTACTTTTGTTTTGTCAATATTACTTTGTCAGCAAGTTTTTAAATTTAACTTTTAAATTTATTTACTTATTTTAGAAGTTTGTGATGATTCAATGAATATATTGAAATATGCAAAATCATTTATTCATTCATGATATTCATTAAAATTCATTGTTAATCTTACTCATTATTGTTCCTTTTTTTTATTTTCAGTATGTCTTAATTATTCAGCACAATATTACTTTTGTTTTGTCAATATTACTTTGTCAGCAAGTTTTTAAATTTAACTTTTAAATTTATTTACTTATTTTAGAAGTTTGTGATGATTCAATGAATATATTGAAATATGCAAAATCATTTATTCATTCATGATATTCATTAAAATTCATTGTTAATCTTACTCATTATTGTTCCTTTTTTTTATTTTCAGTATGTCTTAATTATTCAGCACAATATTACTTTTGTTTTGTCAATATTACTTTGTCAGCAAGTTTTTAAATTTAACTTTTAAATTTATTTACTTATTTTAGAAGTTTGTGATGATTCAATGAATATATTGAAATATGCAAAATCATTTATTCATTCATGATATTCATTAAAATTCATTGTTAATCTTACTCATTATTGTTCCTTTTTTTTATTTTCAGTATGTCTTAATTATTCAGCACAATATTACTTTTGTTTAGTTTGGATGTAGCCAATTTTGTTAAACATAGGATATGATTATTTACTTAGATTTAAATATTTTGTTAGAAAATTATGTCTGCTGTTCTAAAATATCTAATTTTAATTTGGTTATTTTTCTGTTTTTAATATTTCCCGTCTTCCTCTAAAATTGCTTTATCTTTGGTTATGGTTATAAACTTTAGATCTATATTATGCAGAAAAAACTATGCCATAACTTTAAATTATGCTGAAAAAAGGGCCCATATGTTTGTGCTTTTATTATTAATAAAAAAGTATTTTAATATCTTGTCTTTGCTGTTAATAAATCTATTTGGCATTTTAGAAAATGGGCGAAATTGGGAGAATGTTTCTCCCCTATGGACTATTTTCCTATCTATTAACTTGGAAAACCGGTTTTGCTATGCAGAAAAGACTGCAACTTAAAATATAATTTTTTGTCTGCAGAACCATCATTAGGTTAAAGTCATAGATAATATTCTCCAGATTTAGATTTTAAATTTGTATTCTTCAGTATTTTTTTCTAACTGTTTATAAATTTTAGCAGTATGATTTGTTTACACTATTGAAAATGTAATGTTAAAAAATCTTGTCTGATGAATGTCTGAAATCATAAAAATTCAATTTTTAATTTATTTATTCATTATTATTCTATTTTTCATTATTCTTTATTTTTATTTATTATGATTTCAATTTTGGTAAATAAACAACACGTTCAATATCATTATGCAATGAAATCATATGATCTTCTAATTAAATTATGATATCGAAAAATTATGTCTGCTATTCTTTATGACTCAATGTTTTTAAATATTTCCTATCTTCTGTAACAATTCTACATATTCTGTATTAGTATTTGTTCTAAGTTTGGTTAACGGGCTGAAGAAATTCTTTTGATCTCACCTGATATTCTTTTGATTTCAGTTTTAAATCAATTTATTTGTATTATTTTTTTTCTTTCTTTTAATATTTGATATTATGAGTGATGCGTTTGGTTTTCTGTGGAATTTAATATAGAACTTGTTTTGATTGCTTTATTTTCCTTTTTAAATATTCATTTTCTTCACTTTATTTATAATGAACTCTGATATTAAGTAAAGAAATTATAAGTGATACTGTTTATTTACTCTATTGATTAAATATATTTGTCTTTTTGTATTAATAATTTACAACTCTAGTATTACGTCAATATCATATCTGGTAATCTTCTTAATTCAAATTTATATTTGTTTCTTATAGTTTTTCCTGTTTGTTCTTATTTTTTTTAAACTAATGCAATTACAAGTTAATTTGATATTGCTTGCTAACCTCTTGTGTTTTTTATTTTATTACAAAAGGCTTTTTTTTTCCTATTGTAACCTGTTGTGAAGATTAATTTGAGTGTTTATTTTGATATTTAATCATAAAGTGAACATTTTATTTAAAATAAATCTTTCAAAAGTAAGCATTTTAAATTATTTTGCGCCACAATTTTTAGATGAACATGTCCATTTGAAATAATAAGATATTATTTTTAATTTGGTGTGCCTTAACATGTATTTTGTAGGACTAAAGACATTTTCAAATTGGCCTACTTATCCTCAGTTGTATGTGAAAGGGGATCTTATAGGTGGTCTTGATATTTTAAAAGAACTTTCTGAGAGTGGTGAATTGAAAGATATTTTGGCTGCCTAAAAATTATTTGAATAAGGTAAAACTTACTTATTTTTATTATATATAAATATTTTTTTTTAATATA